TGATGAGAAAGGGCAGTTTCTAGAAAACGGGGTGCTACACTGACTAAATGTTGTAGTTTGGGGCTTAAAGGGGAACAATACAAGAAACATAATTTATAGAACTAGTGTAAAATAGCAATCCAAAGAATCATATACAAAAAGGGTGCAGGAGATCTGTCTACATGTTAAAGACCAAAGAATCCAGCTGAGGGCCTGAATCTCAGGGTAATATCCTGCATGAGTCCAGCTGAAGACCTAGAGCCCATGACAATGCCCCCTACAAGTCCAACCGGAGACCAAGAGCCCACAACAATGCCTCGTGCAGGACTGTTTTACGGATCTCCACTGGGAAGGCCCAAAGGTCAGGGGTGGAAGCCAGAAAGTCTGTGCTAGCGGGCTGAGGGATCTGAACTGGAGCCAGGAAGCAAGGTCAAGGTAAGCACCAGAACTCCCCAAAAGGTACCACAGCCATCCTCAGCCACAGTGAGGTCCCGAGCTCCTCCAAGGAGAACAGCTGAGTTCCTATCAGGAAAGCCAGTGTGACAAGCATCTCCAGAAGACTGAGCAGTGCACCCTCTTCCCCTCCAGAGGGAGGAAGTGATGCTCAAAGTGAGGACCAGAGAACCGTAGCCTTTCCCAGTGACACCAAGGTACCAAACACCTTTGACTATGAGAATAGCCACGCTCATCAGGAAAGCCATCATGACAAGCTCCTCCAGCAGAGCCAACAGCAGCCCCAGGAAAACCAGCCACTCCGATAGCCCCCGATAGCTTACTAACTGCCTCTACAGCTCCCAAGAGCTTGCTTGCTTCTTCTCCAGTTCTGCCTCTTATGCGGAAGGCAGCAACCCTCAGGTGGGCCTCCCACACAAGCACCACGCTGCGTGCTGCTAGCTGACCACCAGCTGTCAATCCACCACACTAAATAACAGGGCACTGAAGTACTGGCTTCTGGCTCCTAATCCAGTGCTCTTCCGTTGCACCAAATTACAACCTCCTGATTCCAATTTTTCTTTTTCAATGGCACATGGCCAAAATCAACCTTAGTAACAAAAGGCCACTCCCAGAGCTGTGCAGCAGCAGCTCTTCTATCTCCAGCTGACAGGTACAGAAAGTGGAGTTTAGAGAAAGGAAGGGGCTTGCGCTTGCTTGCAGGCGCTGCGCTTGTAGAAGTCGCCCTCCTCCCCACTGTACTGCCCGCTGGCCCCTCCGCATTCTCAGCCTCACGGTCCCTGCTCGCCCAGGAGCCCGTAGGGAGAGACACCAGGCTCATCCCTGCCTGCACGGCGGTGACTGCTGTGGCGCTGGCACGGGAGACAGTGCCACTCGGGGAGGTCCTGGGCTGACTTGGCCCCAGCAGTCCCGGAAGGGAGGAGAGCCTCCCAGAACTCAGGGCATCTTGGTTACTTCCTATGTGGCCGAGACACAATACCCTACGCCTGGAAATGCAACGAGGAGACGCTTATTTTGGCTCGCAGTTTATGGAGGTTTCAGTCTGCGTTCCACTGGGTCCCGGGCAGGGGGCTTGGAGGGCCTGGAGGAGGAGAGCTGCCTACTGCCTGGCGGGAAGCGGAGAGGGGTCCCAGGTGGAGCCGGAGAGGCAAATGCAATCCCTCTGGGCCCTTGACCCTGCCAGCCCCAGCCCCGACCTTCTGTTGCAAGCCAGCTGGAATCCGCGTAATCCAGTCACCTTCCAAAAGCCCCACTTTTGAGATCATGAGGCTTTGGGGAACATCCAGATATAAATCCTAACACAAGGCGTCCCGCTGTGAAAAGCTGAAAGCGAGGTTATGTGGAAGGGCTTGGAAAGCTCCTTTCATGCCTTGCTGGTGTGTCCTTGTTGGAAGGCGCAGAAGCCACAGCTATTCAAGCTTTGCAACCCGGGCCTGGAGAAATGATGCGCATGCGCTCTGGGAGCTGTGCCTGGGAAGGAGGTCTCCGCCTTGAGTAAGTGAAGCACTGGAAACTGCCCGTGTGCTGACCAGCAAGAAAGGAGCTACACGAAATGAGGGATGGTCATGTGACCAATGCATAACTCGATCAAAAGAGGTGAACTAGGGCCGGCCAAATAGCTCAGCGGATTAAAGCGCTTGCAAGCAGGCTCAGGGGCCGGGGTATTCCTCCCAGGTCGAGCTGAGACTGTTACTGAGACTGGGCGTGGTAGTGTGTGCCTGTAATCCCAGCTCTAGGGAGGCTGTAAACAGACGGATCACGAGTCCAATCTAGTAATGAGGCCCTGAACACCCTGTAGTTCCTTCCCTAAAATACAAAAAAAAAAAAAGGTGAACTATCTCTAACAGTGTTGGTCCAGTCTATGACACAGCTGATTCTTACTATTAGAGGTGATTTTGTTCTATAGCATTGCTGCGAACTTTCGTGAGAAAGCCGGCTTAGGTTCCCATGGCCTTCTACTCAGGACATTTTGGTCAATGCTTTTTTTTGCTTTTTTTTCTTGGGCAGTGAAAATCGAACTCCGGTCCTTCCATTTGCCAGGCAGGTGCTGTACCAGTGAGCTATAATCCTGGTCCTACCTTGCTTTATATATGTTTCAATTTAAAGACAATTTGTTTGCTATACATTATTATATTCATTAATATTAATCCACTAATGGATATTTATTAATATTGAACTCATATCATAGATATAATTTGTGTCAAAATGAAGCTTATTTTAGTACATATTTTCCTCAAAAGGCACATTACTGCCTTTTTGCACCTAGATTTTAGACAATACTTCACCATTTCAAATAGCAAAATCGCCTATAACAAAAGCACAAAAATACAAAACACATGACACTAAATAGACCATGGAGAGGACGCTTGTTTACAGGGTGCAGTCTGAGAGTTTAATCAAGAAAGCACTGTTTGACTTCAGCTGAGAATATGAACCCTAGGTGACAAAGTTTTCACCTCTCTGCACATGTCTGGGAGGGCCTGTGGCTTTGCCATCACTACTGAGCAGGTTACAAACGTGAGAAAATGGATTCGTAAGTAGGGAATCCGTACAGCGTGGATTGGCTGTACACGTCATCATGTCTACACCTCCTGGGGCAGATCCCATGAAATATAGCACATGTATCAGTATAGATATGGTCTGATTAATGTGGAGTGAAAATCCAAGCTTAAGGTTCATATACACGGGACGGACCTAAACGTATCAAGGAAAACACCACGATGCTTTTCCTTTTCTGTACAATGGTTAAGAGGTACCAGCCTCCCCCAGGTACTGGGCCTGGTTCCAACCACCTCGTGGCCTTGGCTACTTAACCCTTACAAGGCCTTCCTGACGTTGGTGCGATTTTTATTCCTATTTTATAGAAAGAGTTTTAAAAATTGCTGAGGGTTACAAAAAAGATGTATATCTCACTCTCAGTGCTGGAATTACAGCTGTGGGCCACCACGCCCCATCTCAGTGCTGTCTCAGGGCACCCCAGGGGTGGGCCGGCACAACAGGCTAGGGATCGAACCCTGGGGCCCCTGAGCCTGCCTAAGCAAGCGCTTTAATCCTCTGAGCTATCTGGTCAGCCCTTGACCATTGGATTGATTGATTGATTGATTGATTGATTTGTGTGTGTGTGTGTGTGTGTGTGTGTGTGTGTGTGTGTGTG